ATCTTATCCGCTTGGCCACGGAGGGAGTGGGATGGGGCACGGATGGCTGTCCCCACAGCCAGAGAGGGGCAGAGCAATGCACCCGTGCCACTGATATGCCAAGCTGGAGACAGGGGTGGGTAGGGGGAGCAGTTCCCTCCCAACTAAAAGTCAGAACTCTGAGGCCCAGTCTCTCCCCTCCTTGAGGAACGCCCCAAACAGCCATGCCTGCCTTTACCTCCCTCCTGGGCAGACTGTCTGTGACTTTGGACACAGCTCCTGGGGGGAATTCCCAGTTTGCTACTTATGAGTTGTGCCACCTTCAGTGAATGGCTTCCTCGTCCTTAATGTTCTCATCTGTAGAATGGGGATAATACCTATTCCCCCTGAACCCCCAGGCTGTCGTGAGGACCAAACTGAGATAATACATCATCTCCCAGAACACAGAAAATGTTTGCTGAGTCACTGAACGACTGACCAGACGGTACCCATCCACTTTCAGAGTGCTTAGGCTTCGGGGCTGCAGGGATACCATGGTGATCCCTGGCCTTGAATGGCCAGGGTAGGGCACTGAGGACAACCACACAGGCCGTAGAAATGGTGCCTGCCTCCTGCCCCCCGCCCCGCACACCCAGCACCCGCCCAGCATGGGGGTGATCACAGGTTCTAACTGCAGGAGTATCGCCAGCAATAGCCCAAATTAAAGATATAACTACCCAATCACAAAGTCCATAACTGGCCAGGTGAGGAAGAAAGGGAAAATGGCAGAAAATACACAGCCAACCATGTAGCCCCACGGCACAGTCCCACTACCTCAAAACCCACGTGGTCTCGCACACCCATACAACCTCAGAGACAGCCAACCACACACCCCAAACTCACACATCGCCGATCATACACACACACAGTCACAGTCTCGCATCACCCAAGGCTCCGCATACAGTCATACCTACACCACAAAACACCTATACAGTCACAAAACACCACATCACTCAACCTCAGCCACAATTCCCCCCACTCCCACTCACAGCCAGGTACAGCCGGGGCCGGCCACACCCAGCCCACTCACGCCCCACCCCGCACACGGAGCAGGCCCCGCTCCTCTCGCAAAGCTCACAGGTTGTCATTTGCCTGAAACATCCCAATGAAAGCCTAGTAACTGGGCTGCGGTTGCTCCCAGGGCCTCAGCCCACAAGAAGGGGGTTTTGTTGCTGCTTCTTTGCCTACAAAAATGCACTTTCTTCAGTCCACAGCAGGTTCATGTCTTAGCAGCAGCCTGTGGACACTCCTCCGCTCGGGTCTCCTGTCCCTGCCCTTGCAGGAGGGCTCGGCAGCTGCAGGGCTCTGAGAGCTAGGAGGGCCTGCTGGGCTTCTTGGGGTCTCCAGTCACAGTGCCCACAGGGCTACGCATGCGCTAGGCCAGCATGTTCCCTTGGGTCAGGGGACCAGCCACATGCAAGAGCTGCCGGAGCCCCTCCCCCAGGCCCCGGGCTGGAGCTGCTGTGGAGACCCTCTGAGTCTGCCTACCACACCCAGCCTCCGACCCCACTGAGTCACTGAGGACCAAGGGCAGGTCTGAAGGTCAGCCCAGGGTGAATCTGGCATGGGGGGGTCCCGTGAATCGGTGAGCAAGTAGTGGAGGCCTTGAGGCAGGTGGAGCAGCAGCCTCTGTCTGCATCTGGCCCTGCCTGACCCATCGGTCCTACGAGAGGCTACCAGCCTGGTGCCCGGGGAAGCTGAGGAGAGGACCCCAGGCAGCGCAGGAGGGCTCTGGGTCAGAGGCCTGGACCTGGGGGCAGCGGGAAGGCTTATTTCGTGGCCAGCAGTGGGGCTCCAGGGGCATTTTGGGGGAGAGGTGGGCCCTCAGGCCAGCCCCACTGGCATGATAAGAGGAGAGAATGGGAAAGGGTAATAGGAAAAACCGGACAGGAAAGCCAGTGACCACAGACACATAGGAAGGAAGCCCATGACCCTCCTGGAGAACACCCCGCCCTGGGACAGGGAGTGCGCGCCTGTCCTCTCCGCGCCTTTCGGGAGTAGTGGTTACCATCCATCATTGTCCCAGGGGCCCAGACCCCACGGGAACACGGGCCAGCTCAGGGCAGCAGAGCACCATGCAGGGACCACATCTGTTGGCCCACTGGCCTCGTGACCCCGGAGTCCTAGACCCTCCCCGGGGCTGCTGCGGAACCATGGACAACCCTGTACAGTTCAGCCCCGGCTGGCCCCGAGGTGCTCAGTAACCCAAGCAGCAGGGCGCCCTTGCTGACTCTGGCACTGTCCCTCCTGGAAGCCGCCTGCAAAAATGCCAGGGCCAGGGCTGGGGCACGAGGGGCTAAGGGCCTGGAGCAACCAGCTGCTGGGTCCCGCCCACCCGAGTAGAAGGACAGGCCTGTCTGAATGAAATGTCCTGGTTTGCCCATTGACGTTTATACTGCCTCGAGACTGCGGATCATTAAACCCACCCTGCAGGATGGGGGCCCGGCAGAGCAGCAGCTCTCTTGGTTTGGCAAAAAATGGAAAAAGACAGAGGCCCAGGGCTGCCTCCTGCAGCCAACAGGCTGTGTGAACTAAGATATGCCCCTCCCGCTGCCTGGGGCCTCCCTCAGTTTCCCCATTGTTAACCTAATGGGGTCAGAGAATCCCTAAGGTCCCACCTGCTCAATTGTCCTAAGACTTTTCTGGAAAGACTCCATGTGACCCAAAAAAACCAAGCAGCCTCACTGGCCCTATGGGGTCCCAGTTGAAGGCAAGACCTCAGGGCTGCTGTTTCCCCAGGGGAACAGGGCCACCGGCCATGGCACCTGGGTTCAAGTGCCCAGGGTGCCTGTCTCAACTGTGTGGACTCAGGCAAGCTCCAAACCTCTCTGAGCCTGATCCCAAACCCTGGAAAATGAAGAACAAACCACTTCCCAGAAAAGCATGATGTAAGGGCTCCATGATAACACTTCGTGGGTATCTCAAGTCACACCTGCCGTTGCAATTGGACTACCACCACCCCACGCACACCACCTACCACGTTACAACCCCCACAGCAGAGGACAATTAGCATGCCCTCCGCCTTGTCTGTCTGTTCTCCTACCCCAGGCTATGTCTCCTCTGGTTCTGGTCAGTAAACGAAGGTGGGCATGGAAGTCAGTGGGCTGCAGTCTCCCAGGTTTTTCATGTCCTTCCAGGGGTGGGGGCTTAACTGGCACTTTCACAAGATAGATGCAATATTGGTGAAACATAACTAGTCTTGAGACTAGAAGGGTAAACAAGGGTGTAATCCATGAATTTTCTAGTTGTCCTTCATTCTGATGTCCTGCCACTTTTCCTAGACTCTCTGACTGACACAGTGCCCGAACAAGGACTCGGAGCACCGGGAGTGAGCCACCGGCAACGGGCATCCAAGCTGGGCACCTGGACTCACCCGCCTCCCAGCCCCCACCTCCAGACATCACACAAGGCAGGAAGCCCGTGGCACTCAATCTTTTATTTTCTTAAACTGTACACAAATGTAAAATACTTTAACAGCAAGTCTATGGGAAAATTGTTTGGTTTTAAATTATTATGAAACAGAACCTAAGGGGAGCTTTATTAAATAAACATAAAGATGGGGATTTAAAAATACACACCTGCTTTCTACCATCGTCATTTTTACTCTAGCTTCTGGGTGTGTGAGGATAGAAAAGACTCACCAAACTGAATAAACAAAATCCATTTATACCCTGAAACGCTGGCAGGCCACTCAAGGGATCGTTCTCAACGTCTACCTCATACACGACGGCCTCACCATCTAATAAAAATTAAAACTGATCTGTTGGCCTCTTTGGTTCCAAAATTATGTATAATACATTTAACTGTTTTTGTTTTTTTTTTTTGCTGCTATAAAAATAACTTCTTTTTTCAAATGGCAGTTTCTGACTAATCATGCAACTAAATCAGTGCAAACATTAAAAGCAATCATTCGCTTTAAAAAGAAGCAAAGGATTTCATTTCAAGTATAAAAAATATAAAAAGAGTCGTACAAGTCCAGTTTGTCTAGTGTGGGTCAACCCTTTAAATTGCATAGTTCACGTGGTACTTGGTCACCTTGGGGTGAGCGAGGTCAGTGCTCTGCCAAGGGCCACTTCTGGACACACGCAGATGGGCAAGTGCTGTATCGTGTGCGTTCTGGCAGGTCTGCACGTGCTAGGGGGGCTGCGGGCAGAGAGCGGGCGGGGGCCACGTCCACGCCAGCCCCAGTGGCCAGGGCCCACACTGGCAACTTCTGCAAAGCAGCGGAAAGCCTTCCCTCTCTCTAAGACCAGCTAAACTGTTCCCCCTCCCTTGCCCCCTGCTGAGGGGGCACCCCCACCACCACCACCCTGCATTCCCAGAATGCCTCCACCCACCATCTCCTCCTCTGGGCTCATCCTTTTGCCTAGGGGTCATTTCCACCCCTCCCCAACCAGTCCTAGAGGAATATCGCCAGTGAAGGGCACAGATGGCAACTTTTTTTCCCCATTTAGAACAATCCAGATTTTACCTTAAAAGATCATAACTGGTAGAAAAGTCCCTTTTCAATTATACAACTGGAATGAATGACCTGTCAACTGCTAGCGATCAGTTAAAGCATCAAATTAAGACCCTTCTCCGCTCCCTCCCTCCCACCCCCCAAACAAACACACATATAAGTCACGCCAGGGACCCCGGCAACAGTCAAAGGGTCACTGCCACTGCTCCACGGTCTCTGGCAGGTTGTGTGCTTTCTGGGGCTCCTTCCCTCTCTGGGAGGGAAAGGGCAGGCTCCCCTGGTCCTGCAGCAGGAGGGATCCAGGCAGGGGAGGAAGCAGACAAGCTTGAACCAGGAGAGGCTGAGGCACAGGGCCTTGCACAAGCAAAGGGGGCCACGCAGCCCCTCTGCCTGCCCGCGCACTCCCCCTCCCCCGCATCTGCTTTCCTCTCCGTGGCTCTGGGTTCCTGTGCTCTCTGCTAGAGCTGTGTGTGTGTGTGTGTGTGTGTGTGTGTGTGTGTGTGTTTCTGTCTTTGTGCTTTTATGTGTGCTCCGAAGGCGCAATTCAGAGTGGTCGGGCCAGCTGGTGGGAATGGTGGCTGCTCACCCCATTCTCTCCAACTGACAGGCATTTGTAGCTAAGCTGCCATTTGTCACCGCATCCATTTGCTGGTATCCTGGAGGCTGCTGTGTGGGTGGCAGGATGCGTCTGGCTGTGCGTGTCTACGTGTGCATTTTAAAGTATTTCATGTCAGTTGAGGGTTCTTGCTCTGCTTTTGACTGATTGCTGGATGAAGAAGTGGAAAAATATTTCAGGCTTCACCCTGGCACCTTCTGGGCAGCCCAACTGAACAACAGCACTTAGCTCACCACACACCCCCTTCCCGTCGGGGCTGCAAGACGCCCATCCGGGACTGTCCTGGCGCCCCACGGCCACAGCCCTGCCGAGTCAGGCACAGCCACATTCCTCCACGATCATGTTGGGCACGTCCCGCTTGACGATGTTGTACTCGTCGTCGAAGTAAAGCATAGACATGGTGCTCAGCTTGGTAGGGATGCAGCAGGAGTTCACTGTGCCGGGATTCAGGCCCCGCATGCGGTACTGGTTCACCACAGCCGTGTGGAAGGAGGAGGCTGAGCCTGGGACCCCCGCCAGGTAGGCCGGGCAGCTGCCCTCACAGTAGTTCCCGTAGTAGCCAGTGGGCGCGATGATCCAGTCGTTCCAGCCGATGAGGCGGAAGTCAATGAAGAACTGTTGCCTGCAACAGAGGTTGGTCCGGCCATCACACTCCAGGCCCCGCTTGCGGATGCGGTGCCTGCTGTCACCCAGCCTTGCCTGCACGACCACGAAGGGCCGGTGCGACTCCTCGCCGGGGTCCACGAACACGGGCACCACAGCCAGCTCCTGGCAGCCATCGCACTGCACATCCAGGTTGAGTCGCCGCTCGCCCCGCTCAAAGAGAGCCTGGATGGCCTCCGTGAGCGGGAAGGTGTGCCAGCCGCTGCGCTTGAGGTCTACCTTCTTCTCTACCACATTCCACCGGTCTCCGTGGCCCTGCTCCTGGTAGTACACCTTGACCCGCACCTTTCGCCGATTGCCCTTCTCCAGGACATAGGGCAGCAGCTTCAGGTAAAGCCACAGGCTGGCCTGAACCACAAACAGGTTCTGGTTGCCTTCATTGGAGATGAAGAAGTAGAGGCGGACCCGGGAGGAGGCGAGGCCATCTGCGGAGAAGCGGGAGAGCAGGCCAAGTTAATTCAAGGAGAACACGAGGCAATGGGGGAAACAGACTCTGCTGCATGATGCTGGAATGCTAACTCGCTGCGCAGCTGGAAGACGTTACTGACCAGAAATACTGTTCCTGGGGCCAAAGCCTCTGACTATAACCTGGGAGAGGCAGAGAAAATCATTTCCCATTGAGAAACGTGGACCAGGTTGGAGTTGAACGGTCCAGGCCTATAAAATCCTGCCTCACCTCTCCCAGGCCAGGGCTCCCTGGAGACAGGCTGTCAGGCCTCAAAGCTCCACAGAGGAACTTGTCAGGAGGCCAAGATCTTAACAAGTTGTTATGGGTATCTGTGAAATCTAAAAAACAAAACCAGGATCACACCAAAGATGTGGGGATGGGTTGTTTTAGTCAAGTGGGGTTTTTTTGTTTTGTTTTTTTTGGTTAACTTAGGGCATTGCAAAATCCAGCCGAGCCACCTACTGCCTCCTTCCAGTGTTTACCTAAGCAGGAGCTGGTCCAACCCCCACAGGACCTCCACTGCAAACAAGCTAGCCCTGCTCATATCTGACACAGGCAAGTGTGCTTTGTAGACTGCAAAGTGCAGCCCTCATTTCCAAGTAGTTAGTTCCAAGGGACAGGACATTCAGCCTTGAAACTTGAGGTCCACCCCTTTGACGAGCCCCGGGCTCCCCGTTAATGGCACATTCACCATCTCCAAGGAAAGGGGGAACTGGCTTGTTCGTTTTCTCAACGACTCAGCTCAATAAGAAGAGAGCCCATGCCAACCCAGAGATGACTCCTCTCATCCTACATTTCAGCAACTCTTCTCTCTGACAACCTCTACTTTTTTTCTTTTTCCAGGAAGAACAAATACAGCAACTGTATGTCCACGGCTGGCTTTATCAAATCTCCCACCAGTGCCTCCCCCGCCCCACAGCCCCTCCTCAGGCCTCGCCTGGCTCCTCTATGACACTGACATCTGACTTTGAAATGGGGGAAAGTGCAGCCTTAAAAGCTGGTCTTGGACCAGCTGCCTGTGACCTGAATCTGTTATTTATAAGTCAAAGAGCTGGCTCCACGAAACGGACCAGAAATATAACAGCCCCCGCTGTCATTTTGTGCCACGGGGACCAAAAGGCCTCCTCGACCTTCCAGAATCACATTTCTACTCTGGGCCCCAAAGCACCTTTTAATCCAAGCTCTCTAATTGCATGTCGAGATTCCCCACTCGGTTGGACAGCTAAAACAGCAATGCGTTTCTTTCTAAGCACAGACCAGCCCCGATTGTCTCTGCTTTTCTCCACACCCGGCCATGCAAAACTTTTCATCCCTTTTCATCCCTGGGCAGCACCAGCCCTGTCTGCCTGCTGCCTGGGTTGGGGGGGGGGGGGAGTCATTTGCAGCCTGGGGACACAACCGTTCTCCCACCCTAGGCTCCCTGCCCACCCCCACCCTGACCATACCAGGGCTCCCCTCTCTGAGACCTACTCCATAGTCCCCTCTGCATAAGTGGGACTGAGCCCCAGGCACAAAAGCCAGCCTGGCTCATTGAAGTCCTGAAAAGGACAGCGGAGTCAAAAACACTTGAAGCATTTCAACGCGAGCACATTTTCCCCCTTCTTTTAAAGTTCGGAAATAATATTTTTTCTATCTTGATTTTTATATTTAGACAGTGGCAGAAATTTGCAATCCAAGGCCAGAGGAAAATTCCAGAAAGAACTCCTACCCTTTGTTAACTACAAACTCTGTGGCTCTCAGACTGCTGCCAGGGGAGCCCAAAGACATGGGGCTGTCCCTGAGCCGCGTCTTTCTCTGCGTAAATGATGGGACCTGTTGAGAAGCTTGCCTTCCGCCCGATTCCGGTGCCCACACAATCGGAAGAGAGGTTGCCTAGCTCTCCCTAGTGAGGCTTCAGCAATCCTGGCAAGCCCACGCCGCCCGGTGATGGAAGCAGCCCTGGGGCCTCTCACGCAGGCAGGCGCGCGCGCACACACACACACACACACACGCTCCTCCGGCCCACGGGTATCAACAAGCACACACATCTCCGGCCACACTGCTAAGCCTACACTCCAGTCGTGGGAAACAAAAACATTAAGCAATCACCAAGGGCCGCACGCATCTGCTGGGAGGGAGACGCGTGCCCAGAGGCGCGGGGCCCAGATTCCCGAGAGCAGGAGTGGAGGGCAAGGTGTTCCCGGCGGGGGTGCGGGGAGCAGGACGGGATCCCTCCCCTGGGTTGAGGAGACGGCAACCGGAGCGCAGGGCGCAGGGCGGGGGGCCAGCGGCCGGGCGGGGGTCCGGGTACGGGAGGGCGCGCTGGCTGCGGCGGCCAGAGCGGGCCGGGGGGGAGGGATCGAGGGCCACCGCTAGCCGCCGGCAGAACCGACCCACCTGTCTCCGCGAAGCTGATGATCTCGGAGACGCGCTCCTGGCCGTCGGCGCCCGGGCTGGCGTGGCCGTCGAGGTGCGGGATCTCCACACGGCCGTCCTCGCGCACCTTGCCCGCGTGCAGCTTTCGCAGAGCCGTGACCATGGCGGCCTTGGGCACAGCGTGCGTGATGTTGGGCCGGCCCCGCATCTGCAGGCGGTTCAAGATGTGCCGCTTGACCGCCTCCAGGAAGTCGCCGTCCACCCGGCCCAGCTCCTCCGGCCGCCGGAAGCCGCCGCACGACGTGCAGGTGTCCTGCGAGCCGCCCGGAGCCCCGGGCGGTGGGGGCGGCGGCGGCGCGGCGGGCGAAGGCGGGGGCGTGGGCGAGCCCCAGGCCTCGGGCCCCAGCCAGCCGGCCGCCAACAGCAGAAAGCAGGCGGCCCTCAGCGCCCAACAGGGCAGCCCGTCCATGGTGCGCCGCTGGCGACGAGGGCGCCCGCCGCGAGGCGAGCCGAGCCGAGCGCAGGGCCGGGCTCCGGGCTCCGGGCTCCGGGCGCGCCGCCCCGCCCCGCCCCCGCCCGCGCCCGCCCGGGCCTCCGCCCGCCTGCCGGGAGGGCCGCCGCCGGCTCTCAGGGGGAGGGGGCCGTCCGGGCCGCGGGGTTTCCGCGCGGCGGGGAAGGGGCGCTGAGGGCCGCGGGGGCCCGAGAGGCGAGCGAGGCGAGGCGGGAGCCGGAGGGTCACTGCCGGCCGGGCGTCTCGGGGCGCCTCGGGATCTGCAGCCTTCTCCCCATCCTCTCCGCGTCGGGGCCCCGCAGTCCCCGCTCGGGTGAAGCGAAAGCGGCGGCAGCGGCGGCTTGGCCGCGGGGCGGGGAAGGTGGCGAAAGGGCCGGTCGACGCAACTTGGCCGAGACGGAAGCGGAGACGCCGGAGCCCCCGGAGCGGAGCGGGCGCGGCGCTGCGGCGGACTCTGCGGCGGGGCCCCGCACTCGCACCTGAGCGCCTCGCTCTCGCCGCCTCGCACGGAGGAAGAGCCGCCGGTGGCAGCAACGGGCGTGTCGTCCTCGCCGCGGGCCGGCGGGCGGCAGAGCGGAGCGAGCGCAGTGCGGGTGGCGCCGGGGACCGCGGGTCCGCTCAGAGGCGACGCGGAACCCCCGGCCGCGGGCCCTGCAGTCCTCCCGGCGCGTCACACGGCAAAGTTGTTTCCAGGCTCCCGGGGCGCCGCATCCATCCGCCGGCGGGCGGGCCGGCCGCTGCCGCTTCGCCGGGCCTCAGCTCCGCCCGCCTCCTCACTTCTCCTCCCTCCCTCCGCCTGCCTGCGCGGGCCGGCGGGCGCGGGGCTCCGCGCGGAAGGCGAGGCAGAGCAGAGGCAGAGGCAGGGCCCTTCTCGCCCCCGGCTCTGGTGTCTCCCGCGGCCGCGGCGGTGTCGGCTCGAGCGCCGAAAAGTCTCGCAACGTCCCCGGCGCCGGTGCTCTCGCTGCTCTCCCGCTGGCACACGCCGCAGGGCCGGCCGAGAGCGGGCGGTGGCAGCCGCGTCCCCGCGCCCGGCCGCGACAGAGTGCGGAGCCCGCCGGAGAGGAGTTCTTCTCTTTGCCCTCTCTTCTTTTACTCTCCTCGCTTTTTCTCCCAAGGGGAAAAAAGCCGCACAATCTCCGTAAGTGCGCGCGCGTTGAGATAGACGTTGGCAAAAAAAAAAAAAAAAAAAAAAGCGGGGGGGTGGGGAAGCGAGTCTCGCCCTGGCCATGCGGGAGGAGGCTGCCGGTGCCTCCCCGCTCCGGCTTCCCGGCGGGGGGGTGGGGGGGAAGAGGCGGAATCTGTTCAGGTCGGTGTTGCCGGCTTCCCACACCCCCCACCCCCGCCCACCCCGTTTCCCTCCGATTTTTTCCTTTCTGCCTGAGCGAGAAGGAGGGGGAGCTGGCCCTCTCCCTTCCCCCCACCCCTGCAATACCCAGCCACTTTTGCTGTCTCGAAACTTTCCCACCACGTGGGCACCCCGGACCCTCGCCCCGCTGGGCGGCGGGCGGCACCGACGGTATCTGGGCCCCGGATCCCAGCGCTTGCCCCCGCCCCTCGGCCGCGCAGGCCCTGCCCTCGTCGCTACCGCCGCCCTTGGACCAGAAGAGGCAGCTCCCGCGGCCGCGGCCGCCCGTGGCCCTCCCGGGGTGCTCCCTCGCGGGCCTGGCGAGGCGGGTTCGGGGCCGCGGGCTGGCGCCGTCGGTGGCTGGCGCTCCCGGGCTGCAGTGCACAGCCCTCGCAGACACGCCGGGCCGCTGGTGCTCGGGCGAGGCGGGGGACCTGCAGGCTGGAGGGCCAGGGGAGGTGGCGGCCGCTGGAGGCCTGGCCGGCCGCTGCTTCCACCGGTTTGCGCCCCAAGGAACTCCTCGATTGTGCGGGGATCCAACACCACCACCACGCATCCCATCCCCCATCTGGCAAACCTCGGCCCCAGACAAGCCCGGGTTCCAGTCGAGGCTCAGCCATTGCCATCTTTGTAGGAGTGACCTTGGGTACAGCTTTCGCCCTCTCTAGTCTCCATGTCCTCATCTGTAAGTGTGTGGGGGGGGGTGGAATAACACCTATATCACACGGGCTGCTTGGGAGCCCCAAGGAAGGAAACTGGGCCAAGCTCCTCACAGGACCCAAGCAACTGTGATTCCAAGGCCGCCGGTTTGGGGCCGCCAGACAAGAGGCGCTGTCACTGGAAACCGAACTCCCGAAGCCGTCCAGACCCCCAAGTGCAATCCGTTCCTCTGCGCCTCCTTACGCCCCCACTGGGTGTGGAGCAGCAAGACATTGATCACCGGGCGTAGCGCCCTAGCCAGGAACAGGGCCCTGCCCTCTCCCCTCCCTCGTCCAGACCCCCGACCCACCGTGGCCACGCCCCAAGCAGATAGGACGTCCAGGCTGAAGTGAGGTGGGAGGTCATTTGGGCTTCCCTAGAATATTATTCACCCCAGGACCACCAAGGAAGAGCGTGGCCTCCAGTTCAGGGTCCCTACCCCCGCAACCCCCATCACGGGCTTCCCAGGACAGCCTTGCTGCTGTGGAGCTCAGCCTGGACCGAAGCCCCGCCGAGGCTGGCAAATCTGGAGGCCGAGCGCCCCCTCCCTCCCAACCAGAGGAAATGACCGAAGATGCCAGGCCGCTCCCGCGGGGCTAGCCGCGTCCGGGTTTACCAACCCGCAGGCCAAAGAAGCAAGGGCCCAGGAGGGTCCCGAGGTGGCAGCCCTTCTGCCTGCTTAGGGATTTCTCCAGAGCCCAGTTCTCTACGGCTCCCAAACACACAGCACTCTGTGCCCTCCGGTGTCCACCCCTTACCCTGTCCTAGAGCCTGTGATCCCAGGGCAGGAAGGAGGCTTCTGCTTCCTGGGCAGCCAGTGGCCCTGAGCCAGGCTGGACCCGCCTCTGCAGTCTTGCTCGTATCTCCCACCAGGCACACATGCTCTGGTCCTCTGCCTTTCCATCGCCACAGCCATCAGCTACTTGGCAAATTCTGTCTTAAAGACTCAGCCCAGTGTCTCCTCCTTGGTGAAACCTGTCATGGCTGTCTTGTGCCCTGCATGGTTATTTGTCAGGCTAGGCCCCTCAGCCCAGGGCCTGGCTTTTATCTCCACCTGCCTGTCTCCTGCAGGGGCCTCAGTTCCCGGAGGACAGTAGCCAGGTCTTGTGGGCCCTGCCTGATGCCAGACCTGGCAGAAGTTCTGGGGAGCTATTGCGCAAATGCTCCATTGGGTGATTGATTAAATGAATGAACGAGAGAAGTCATTAAGCCAGTAAAGGATTTAACACCCCTCACTCCCCAGCACAAGCCCTCCCAGCAGCAGGCCTTGCCTGCCTAGTTGTAATACTTCCTACTGTGAGTTCCACCTGGGCTAGACAGGGCTGGGGGAAGGGAGAAGGGCACCTTGCCTTTGGGGACATCCTGTCCATTGACCTGGCGCTGGGGAGAGGCAAAAGCCACCACATCCTGGTTGGAAGAAGGAGGGAAGAGGAGGCTGAGAGGAGGGTCCACATTTTGCTCCCCTGGTGAAGGAGCTGTCAGCCCCACTGCCGGTCATATGCTGGGAGGGAACTGGGTCAAGCGGTAGTCAGAAACCATCTGCTCGAGAAGCTGAGATTATCCCGCCCTCTGCTGATCCCCCCGCCTGTGGGAGCTAAGGGTGTAAATTGAGTTCTTCCAGATCACCTTGTGCTTTGATGGGGGTAGCCCCCACCCCCTACTGAGGGGCAAGGACCTGTTCCTGTTGCTTCGAAGCTTCATTTAGCACTGGGCTCAGTTCTCCTTGTCCCGGTGACCTCAGCCTTCACTCTCAGCCAGGGATGTGACTGCACCTGTCAGTTTTGAATACAGTAATGCGCGTCAATGCTGTAGCCAACACCCTATACACAGGCTACAGGGCCAGGCCACCCACACGCAATGCTAGCTCCCTGCCACCATCAAGGAACACGGGCCCACTGGGGATGGTAGGAAGAAACGTAACATTGTGGATATGGGCGCATGGACCATGGAGAGAGCTTCCTTGGGGAGCTCGGAGCACTTGCTCTTACAAGTTTTTTTGGCATAACCCATAGATAAGTGCCAATTTGAGGACAGTGAAAACGTCCAAAGCAACAAAGCAAACTATAAAAATGAACCTCGTTTGCTAAAATAATTGAGAACTCAGGTACAGTTCCTGGCCACATGGCCTCTGCAGAGTGTGGGGTAAAGAGAGCCCTTCTCATACCATTGGGCACTCACAGCCTGTTTGGCAGAGTTGGCTGGGCTCAGGGACCTGGTGTTCACTTTGGACCACTGGCCCAGAGCTGCTGTTGTCGGTCAGCATCACCCATCATGCCTCTCCAGACGGTTCACTGTCTGAATGGAAGGAGCTTTGTACCAGACCGGATGAGATGTCCTACCCACCTGGCAGCCCAAGGCACAGGAAAGGAACAAACCTGGAGTCAGGTGTGAAGCAGGATCCAGCCAAGGAGGCCACAAGGGGCAAGGGCCAAGCTGTAAGAATCCAGGCACCAGCCCAGCCGGTGTGGCTCTGGCTGAGCGTCGACCCATGCACCGAGAGGTCACCAGTTTGATTCCCAGTCAGGGCACATGCCCAGGTTATGGGCCAGATCCCTAGTGGGGGGCATGCAGGAGGCAGCCAATCGATGTTATTTCTCATCAATGTTTTTATCTCTCCTTCTCACTTCCTCTCTCTAAAATCAATAAAGGAAAAAAAAATTAAAAAAAGAATCCAGGCACCAAAGCAGAACCCCCTCAGGATGTCCCAAGGCATTTCTGTGAGGTCACAGAGGCAAGTCCGTGGTCATGGGAGGGTTTTTTTTAATAAGACAGTGTATTTCTCACCAGGGCAGCGGGATGGTGCCCATCTTTCAAGGACCCCAACAGCCCTCACATCCTTAAGTCTTCCGAGGCCTCAGCAAGGAAGCCTGTCATCTCTGAACTCCTGAGCTCCAGCCCTGAGACCATCTATGCT